CACTGGTGCTGGCAGTGTATCAGGCCCTGGGTTAGACAGCAAACCAGGCAAGCGCAGCCGAACTCCTTCCAATGATGGAAAGAGCAAAGATAAGCCTCCAAAGCGGAAGAAAGCAGACACTGAGGGCAAGTCTCCATCTCACAGTTCTTCTAATAGGCCTTTCACCCCACCCACCAGTACAGGTGGGTCCAAATCTCCAGGCAGTTCAGGAAGGTCTCAGACTCCCCCAGGTGTTGCCACCCCACCCATCCCCAAAATCACTATTCAGATTCCTAAGGGGACAGTGATGGTGGGCAAGCCTTCCTCTCACAGTCAGTACACCAGCAGTGGTTCTGTGTCTTCCTCTGGCAGTAAAAGCCACCATAGTCATTCTTCCTCCTCCTCTTCCTCGTCTTCTGCTTCCACCTCAGGCAAGATGAAAAGCAGTAAGTCTGAAGGCTCATCAAGTTCCAAGCTAAGTGGCAGTATGTATTCTAGCCAGGGGTCCTCTGGATCCAGCCAGTCAAAAAATTCATCTCAGACTGGGGGAAAGCCAGGCTCATCTCCCATTACCAAACATGGTCTGAGCAGTGGGTCTAGCAGTACCAAGATGAAACCTCAAGGCAAGCCATCATCACTTATGAATCCTTCTATAAGTAAACCAAACATATCCCCTTCTCATTCAAGGCCTCCTGGAGGATCAGATAAGCTTGCCTCTCCAATGAAGCCTGTTCCTGGGACTCCCCCATCCTCTAAAGCCAAGTCCCCTATCAGTTCAGGTTCTGGTGGTTCTCATATGTCAGGAACTAGTTCAAGTTCTGGCACGAAGTCATCTTCAGGGTCAGGATCCTCAGGCTCAATGTCTCAGAAAACTCCCCCAGCATCTAATTCTTGTACACCATCTTCCTCCTCGTTTTCCTCAAGTGGTTCTTCCATGTCATCCTCTCAGAATCAGCATGGGAGTTCCAAAGGGAAATCTCCCAGTAGGAATAAGAAGCCTTCCTTGACAGCTGTTATAGATAAGCTGAAGCACGGGGTTGTCACCAGTGGGCCTGGGGGTGAGGATCCAATGGAGAGTCAGATGGGAGTAAGCACAAATTCTAACCATCCCATGTCCTCTAAACATAATGTGGCAGGAGGGGAATTCCAGAGCAAACGTGAGAAAAGTGATAAAGACAAATCAAAGGTTTCTACTTCTGGAGGCTCAGTGGATTCTTCTAAGAAGACCTCAGAGTCAAAAAATGTGGGGAGCACGGGTGTGGCAAAAATTATCATCAGCAAACATGATGGAGGCTCCCCTAGTATTAAAGCCAAAGTGACTCTACAGAAACCAGGAGAAAGTAGTGGAGAAGGGTTGAGGCCACAGATAGTAGCCTCTTCAAAAAACTATGGTTCTCCATTGATCAGTGGTTCCACTCCAAAGCATGAGCGTGGTTCTCCCAGCCACAGTAAGTCGCCAGCTTATACACCCCAGAATGTGGACAGTGAAAGTGAGTCAGGCTCCTCCATAGCAGAGAAATCTTACCAGAACAGTCCGAGCTCCGATGACGGGGTCCGACCACTTCCAGAATACAGCACAGAGAAGCATAAGAAGCACAAAAAGGAAAAGAAGAAAGTCAAAGACAGAGACCGCGACAGAGACAAAGACAGAGACAAGAAAAAGTCTCACAGCATCAAGCCAGAGAATTGGTCTAAATCACCCATTTCTTCAGATCAGACATTATCTATGACAAATAACCCAATCTTATCTGCAGACAGGCCTTCAAGGCTCAGCCCTGACTTTATGATTGGGGAAGAAGATGATGATCTTATGGATGTGGCCCTGATTGGCAATTAAGAACCTTCTTTTCTAAACAGATAAGTCTAGAGAAGAAAGTAATGATACATTTACATGTAAACCAACACAAGGGGTGAGTCAGATAGGCCTGATTTGTGCTTGAGATTCCTAATGGGCATGGCCTCTACACCACGCCGGGTACATTTACAAAAGTATATCTAAGCCCTACTAAAGGGACCATGGGGTTGCTTATTCACCAAGTCATATTCCTTTGCCAGAAAGAAATGTTAAAAAAAAAAATACTTGTTTAAGATAGGGAGGGATGGGAAAGGGTATAGAGAGGGAAGGGAGGGAAAACTGTTGTGGGAAATATTCATATATATTTTTTCTCCCTTTTTCCATTTTCAGGACATGCTTTAAACTCATTTTAGTGCATGTATTTGAAGGGCTGGGCAGAAAAATGAAAAAGCAATACATTCCTTGATGCATTTGCATGAAGGTTGTTCACCTTTGGTAGTTGTCCATTTGAAGCATGGGCAAGGGAAGGACTTTGGCAGTTTTGGACACTTAAAGCATTGTTTGGTGTCTGTTTCGTAGGAGTGATTGGGGGAGGGAAAATTATTTTAGCTATTTATTTGTAATATTTTAATCCTTAATGTTTGTTTTTATGCAATGTTTGTTCTTAAATCTATGAAGGTTATGGTTCAGAATGATAAGGCAGGAAGGGCAAGGTTTGTTTGGTGGTGGGGAGCTTGCAGCTTTTGCTGATGCTGCAGCATCAAGCCCACACAGGTTAATCAGAGCCTGTCTTTGGAGTTAAATAGAAAAACCAAAACTATTATCTTTGGAGGTTTTTCACAGGGTTCAGACATAGGAATAATAGAAGTTACCTCCCTATGCAGTTAAAAGATTTATCTTTTTGTTGTTGTTGTTGTTAAAAAGGAAGGGTGGCTTTTGGGGGTATAAGGGTTTTCAGATTCTAAACCCTAAGGTATGAAAACCATTATAGAACTAATAGTTCTCCTAGTTCCACAATGTGCCAAAAGTCTACATCCCAGCATTTTGCTTGCAGGAGAGCTGATGCCATTCCTAAGAGCTGGACTCTGTTTCTCTTCATCATGAGGAGGAAGAGTTCAGACTTAAGTCACTCTACTGTCTGCTCCCCGAGATAAACAGTTTTAAAAAATGCAGCCATAGTTCACTTAAAACAATTTCAAGCTCACTTGAAGTAACGGGCCTGGGATGCTAAGTGAGCATGAAGATAACCCTTGCTACTGTGTAGCACACAATTGGACCTTTTTGGAGAAACAGGTCTGAGTCTGGATTCTGAGGGACATCAAATGAAACCCTTCTCATAAATATAGAAATCCAGGAGACCGTTTTGAGTGCAACAGAAGTTCTCAGTATTTGGAGGGTCCTCTCAAAAATCCGCGGCCTTACTTTGATTTTGCCACCTGCACTGTGCCATTCCTGATGATTCCGTTCAGGATCTTTATCAGCGGGATGGGGCATAATCCCCAGCACAACTCTTCTGGATTACAAAAAGAAAAAAAAGCCAGGTGATTCATGTTTGTGTATGTTATAAGTGGAGTGACTTCATCAGATGCGGACGATTTCTATATCCAACACTCTGCAGGTTGGAGTTAGCATAGACTTGGAAAATGTACTGTGGCTTTCCTTCCTGACTGTTTCTCATTTCCTGTGGCGTTCTCCCTTTTCTGGTCATCGGTTCTCAACAACTCTGCCATTTCTGTGTCCCAAGGCAATAAATAGGAAACAAAACTTTGTAAAATGGAGCCAGAAAAGTTACCTGTTACCCTCTCAGAGTTCACTGTCTTGGGTGGCACTAACGAGGACACGAGCAAGGTGACACTGGAGTCTTTATCTTGTGGTGCTGATGCAGTGGCAGTGTCTCAGATACACAGCCAGGTTGGATTTCTCAGAAGTCTGTCACCTGGTTCTGAATCCTCTCCTCTTAGTTTCTGCAGGAAAGTTAAAGTTATATGGTGTTAAAGTTTGTTCTGGGTGGGGATGATCTCATGGGGAAATGTACTGCATAGTTATAAGGGGCTCAGTCCCCCCAAGCAGAGCCAACAAATACCAAAATGAGTAAACTGGGAAGCTTTTTCTCTCTTTCTGTCTTCATCCCAGATCAAAGAATCCCGAGTTAGGATCTGGATGAAGGATAAGCCCCTGAAATGTCGATGGGCACACCCCACTCAATGACCCAGCATCTGAACTTGCTTAACAGGGAGCCGGGGCTAAACTGCTTCACCCTGCCTGGGAACCAGGGAGCACTGCATTTCTCCACAGGGTGGAGGAGAAGAAGCAGAAAAAACCAAGCCTGGAACACCTCCCTCCCATCCAGGTGTACTCAGTCTCCTGTTTCCAAAAGACGGCATGGACATGAAGTCAACATCTACCTGTTTGCTGCTGCTGGACTTCTTGTATTTTTAGTTTGACCTGATTCTTCTGTCTTCTGGCTTCATGTTAAGGGTCTTTGTTGGACAAAGTCTGCTCTGATGTACAAGAATTTTTCAGATTCAAATTCAGTGTATCTTAAAACAAGTATTTCCAAGGTGAGGAAGGGGACCTTATATAATTGCCAAAGCCAGCTTCAGGTTGATAACTCTTGAATGGGATTTTCCTTTTGTCAGGCCAAGGTCTGAAAATCTAGAACAGCAATATCGTGAATTTTCAGAGGAGCCAGTGAGTCACATAGTATCCAAAGTTGAGTCACAGCAGATGTCAGTGTAGGAAACATTCACAATCCCTGGGTAATCTCATTTTGTATTTTATTTTCCTCTTTAGCCCTGCCCCCAATTATTTGTCTTGAGTTAACTTTTGGAGGGGCAGGAAGTGTTATCTTAGAAACTAGGCTGGGAAACAAGCTCAGTGATAGAGCAGAGCTTTAAATTCTGAGTTTAGAAATGTCCATCAGGAGCAGTGGGAAGGGTCTTTACAGTAGTTCTGATTTGATTTCTGTGTGTATGGCTGTTCTGTAAATATTTTGTTTTGTTTTTCATTTTTTGAAAGTGGACAAATTCTGGGATTCCCCCCCTCTAAAACATCACAAAAAACTGTTGCTTTACATACAAATAAATTTCTTTGATAAAAAGTAATGGGCTTCTGAAAGTTTTATTTGTTTTTAAAATGGGTCACTATGTAGACCAGGCTGACCTCTGTTTTCTGAGACTAGGTTTTATGTAGCCTAGCCAGACCTTGAACTCTATCCTCCTTCCTTCGCTTCCCAAGAGTTGGGGTGATGGTCTTTTGTTCTGAGATTTGTCTCTTTGAGACAGTGTCGAGCGAGAACTTGCTATGCAGCATAGTATGATGTAGAGCTAGCAGTCCTGCCTCAGCCTCCTGAGTGGTGGGATGGCAGGGATGAGTCATCACCGTAAAGTCTTACCGTTTGAATATTTTCATTTGGTAAGCCTCTCAAAAGTCCAAATTAAAAAAAAAGTCCAAATTAATAAAAAGCAGTTTTCTAAATGGGCCACAGGAATGCACAGTTGGTAGACCTAAGAGATTCAAAGACAATATAACGTGGACCTAGGTTTTTGTGGGCCCAAGAAATGAATTTTTTGAACCAAGTTTGTGTAGGAAGTCCTCTTTAGGGGGAAAAAGAAAGTTTGGCCAGGCGTGGTGATTCACACCTTAGGTGGATCCTTTGAATTCCAGGAAAACTGGAGCTACTGCATAAACCCTATTTCAAAAAAAAAAAAAAAAATTAAGTGCTTTAAGGTAAGCAAACTAAAGTTTTTTAAAGGTTCGCAGCACTTGTCACTTGTAAATTTTCATCTTTATCGGATTCTAATTAAAACCAAAGACTATAAGGCAAACTCATAACTGCTTTGAGTATGCAATTAAAAGCAGTATTGTTGCCTCATAGAGCACAGGCGCAATTTATGATAGTTTTTAATACTTCAGGATTGGTACATTATGTAATTTGTTTCTCTTTGAAGGGGCAACTCACTCTAGATTGTTTCCTGATTCATGGACAATAGGTCATAGGTTTAGGAATCTTGAAGGCTGGAGTTTACATTAATAATAGGATGACACGGACTAGCTTCTATATCCTAGTCCAATGAAAGCCCTAGTTTCCTGTGGGCAGACGCCCCCGCCTACTCGCTCCTACATGCTTGTTTCTCCCGCCGAAATGGCGTCAGGTTGAGACTCTCACCAACCAGCGCCCTGATTGGAGGGCAAGCAGCCACTACAGCCCATTGGGCGCCACCGGCCGGAGGGGCGGGGATGCCACAGGCCCTTGTGCCTAGCCTGCCCCCACCCCACCGGCGTGTGCCCCTCCCCCGGCCCAAGGAATGGGTGCAGTGCTGGGGCGTTGCACCCCCTGACCCCGAGGTGAAGCTTCGCTACCAGTCCCTGGGCGAGCTGGGCGCTAGGTCAGCCTCTTAGTGCCACCAGCTCATGCCTTGGGCAGCCAGGCACTGAGAGACAGCCGCCCCGCAGCGGCCCCCCAGGCCTCCCCGCAGCACCCCGGAATGCAATTCACCGGGACGGGGGAGGCAGCGGCAGCAGCACCCGCGGCGGCGGCGGCAGCACTACCCCAACCCAGAGACGTCTAGAAAACGGAGGAAAATGGCTCCGAGCAGGGACCGCCTGCTGCACTTTGGGTTCAAGGCGACAGTGAGTGATAGAGGGCGGGAGTTGGGGGGCCAGGAAGATGTGGGTGCCAGCTCAGGCCGCCGGGGAAGTGACTAGACTAGGGCTGGGGACACTAAGCTGAGGGCTCAGGTTCCGCGTGGGTCGGTGCGTGCCGGTGAGTCTTCGGAGGGTTCCGGTGATGGTCCGTCCCCGCTTTGCTCTCCACGCCGGTCCGCGAGCACGCGCGCACTCGCACCCGCCCCACAGCCCCCCCCCTGCACGCACGCACACTGGGGCACTCCCCTGCCTCTCTTCGTCCCGGTGGGCTCGCGCCGGCCGCCCCACGCTCCGACTGCTCGCGGGCTCACCGTCCGGGGCTGCGCCCGGTGGGGGAGGGGTGGGCTCGCGCCGCCGCCGCCGCCGCCGAGCGCTCCTCCCCTCCCCCGGCGTTCCGAGGCCCGGGCGGCTCTGCCCAATGAGGAGCGGCGTTGCTGGCAGGTGGGGAGTGTTTTTGTTTTGGGTTGAAGTTGAGGCTTTGGGGAGAACCGAGCTAGCGACTGGCAGTCGTCGCGGCCGCGGACGCCGCGGGCGGTGGTGGAGGCCCCGCGGGACTCGAGCGGTCTGTCCACCGCGTCCGACAGGCGGGCCTCGCGTTACCGCCGCCGCCGCCTCCCGCTCCCGGAACTCCCGGGCCTGCCCTGGCCCCTGTCTTTGCACTCCGCACGCCGCAGCGCCCTGCCCGGGCCTCACCCGCTGGCCCCATGAGGAGGGACGTGAACGGAGTGACCAAGAGCAGGTTTGAGGTGTGAGCTCGGAGGGGTCTCGGGTGGCGAGGAAGGCCAGCTCTCGCACCCCAAACAGTCGCCCTACCGGAGTCGCCTCCCTTGTGCGGCCCGCCACCCGCCCCCGGTGGGGCAGTCAGCGTCCTCCCCTGCTCGCGACCCGAAAGCTCCGTGCACCGGCTCGCCTCGCCGTACGGGAGGCTCGCCCGCTGCCCCTTCCATCCGCCGGCCCCGGACGGGATTAGCCCTGGCGCCCTAAATCCCCCCCTTCCCCCATAACACTCAGCTTCCCATTCTTTGCCCAGCCCTTGGCTAGCCTCCTTCCACCACGCAGTGAAAGCACCCGTCCCCGACTGTTCAGCGCCTGCTGCCTTCGTGAAGCGTTTGCCACCTCCCGAGCGGGAATCGATGAGTCCTCGGTGAAAGTAGGAAGTGGGGGTGGGAAACTGGGATGCTAGAGGCGACTGTCGGGTTTTTGGTGCTCTTTGGATATTGTTCTGATACTTCCTCTTCCCCGTTTAGTCTGTACTTTTGTGGGTCATTGTTACTGGTAACTTAGATATCGGTTCAGAGACCGTGAGGAAGGTCCAAGAGCCTTCGGAGAATTCATTTCTGTTTTTGTCTTAGGTTTGTCCTCTGCAGTGGGAGGTTTGTAGTCTTGGAATTGAACAGTAGATCGTCAGCAAGCTCTTTAAAGAGGATTCACGGACTGAGCAAGGGATCCCATTGAGAAGTATTGTAACTACTGAGAAATACAGTAGTACAATAATGTGCAAGAGGCTTCATTGGTAGGCTGCGAGACAAAGAAACTTACACAGCAAGAGTGAATGTTACCTGGCCTTCTCTGGCAGAGACTCAGGCCGACCTGGGATCACTCCAGTCCCAGCGTACTTCTCACTGGTGTTTCTCTCTCCTCCCCTCGTGCGTCGTATTTTTAACATGCAGTGTTTTCCTTCACCTCTCTTTTGAAAGATGAAAACGAGGCAGAAGTTTATGGGCTTGGGGTGAAAGTCTTACCTAGGAATGGAACCTCTATTTAGTGTTTGTAGTTTTTAAGAGTATGAGGAGAAAAAAAAAAAAAGCATAAAGTCACAGCTAGATTAAGGTAGGGTACCTGCGCAGGAAATTTAAATTCAGAGTTACAGTATTGAGTTGCAGTGAGGAAGTGGAGAAAATCAAAGTCCTTGGTTACACTAGAGTTATGTGTAGCTTAACCACGGGGATGGGGTGCGGGGGGGGGGGGGGGGAAGCAAAATAAAAATGACCTATGTAGGAAGTTGTATTGCTCTAAAGTGGAGCATCCAATAAGATTAATTTATGGCAGTTTCAAACTCAGTACTATTGTAAAACCTTTGAAATTACTAACTAGACTTTTGGCAGTGTAGGGGTACTCAGAGTCCAAAATGCTGAAAATTGAGTGGGGTGTAACCTGAATTGCAGTGAGTTCTTTACCAATTTGCTATTATTCCCTTTTAGGTTGTGGAAAAGACTTACTGTCATTTATGCTTTAGAACTATATTGTTGCTTCTTACTTTCAAATAGTTACTTGTTTTGTTTTTTTCTTGAGTCTGGGGCTCAGGTAGTCCTTGAGGTGTTCCTCCACTCACCCAAGTGCTGGAATCACAGAGATGTGAACCACCATGACCGGCTTGATGAAATTTTGAACCTTGAAAATTGCCAGCCTGTGGTTTGCACGCCTTTAATCCCAGCACTCAAGAGGCAGAGACAGGCTGATCTCTGCATATTTAAGGCCAGTCTGGTGTACAATCGAGAGTTCCAGGGACACAGAGACTGTCTCAAAACAAAAACGAAACAAAATCCTCAGAACTAAGATAATCTTTTATAAGGGGCTGATTATTTCTAAGTCGGTAAGCTCAGAATGTGAAGTTTTGTAAGTTGAGGAAATCTATATAGAAAATAATAGCTAATTTCAAATTGTGGTCATGACTAATACAAATGCAAGATTCTTTCCCCACCCTGAGATGAAAGAGACTTCTCTTTGCATACTTGATTCATTGTAACCTTTTTATGGGGAATGTTCTAATGTTCTCTCTCTCTCCCCCCCTCTGTCCCGTCCCCCCCCCCCACCCTGTGTGTGTGTTTCTTTGTTTTGTCTTTGTGGTGCTGGGGAGCCAGCACAAGACCCTACAAGAGCTGCATCCCCCAGCCTTCTTTTTTTTTTTTTTTTTTTTTTTTTTTGAGACGAATTCTCAGTATGTAGCCAACATTGGCCTGGAACTCTCAGTCATCCTCTTACACTGTCTCTTGCTTTCTGGGATGCCAGGCAGGTGCCACAGTGTCCAGTTTGGGGCTGTTTTCTTTTCTGTACTTTTGAATATTGTGACCAGAGGCCGCATGCTTTATATCTTACTCTCAGAGCCAGGTACACAAAAAAGTTTCTACGTTAAACTGAATTTAGTGGCTGCAAATTGTAACCCTAGCTCTTGGAGACTGAGGCAGGATTTGCCCCTGAGTTCCAGTCTGTCCTGTTTATATACTGAGTTCCAAGCCAGCCTGAGCTGTAGAGTGAGACCCTGTTCAAACATTGTGCCCTCCAACACTGTCCCCAAGGGAAAAAAAATAAAACTAAGAAATCACTGGTTATATGAGTCAAATATGCAGCATCTGTGTAAATCCAAAGTAGGTGAGTTCAGGATAGGGAATGAAAGAGATCCAGAGCTGTAAAACTTCCTGCTTCCTGCTCTGTTACGTTGTGTCTTTTTTTAATTAAAAAAATTTAAAGATACATTTTATTTTATGTGTCTGATTGTTTTGCCTGCATGCATTTGTGTTTACTTCACGTTTGCCTGGTGCCCACAGAGGTCAGAAAGTGGCATCAGATCTGTGGAACTGTAGTTACAGATGGTTGTGAAGTACCCTTTTGGCACTAGAAACTGAATCCAGGTTCTTTGCAAGAGCTGCAAGTGCTCTTAACTATCAAGCCATTTCTCCAGCCCCACATTGTGAGTCAGGGTTTCCCACGATAGCCCAGGATGGCCAGAAACTCACAGTGTAACCCAGGCTAGCATGAAACTTCCAATAGTCCTCAGGCTCCACCCCACATGCTATCTTAATTTTGATACTTCTATCTTACATTCAAGAAAAGTTAGGACCCAAGAGGTTAAGGTATTAAAATTGTGCCTCTTAACAGTAGAGGACCAAAAAGTGGGCAGTGGTGGCACCCGCCTTTAATCCCAGCACTCAGGAGGCAGAGGCAGGCAGATCTCTGTGAGTTCCAGGCCAGCCTGGTCTTGGACAGAGCTAGTTCCAGGACAGGCTCCAAAGCCACAGAGAAACCCTGTCTCTAAAAACAAAACAGTAGAGGACCAAGATTCTAATCTCTAGAGGGGGTTTGTTTTGGTTTTTAGAGATTAAATTTGTGAGTGTATATGTGTGTGCATGTGCATATACATGGAGTGCAGGTGCTGTGAGAGTCAGAAATAGGATCCCGAATCTAGAGTTCCAGTCGATAATGAACTCCCTGGTGTGGGTGTTGGCAACCAAACTTGTGTCCCCCCCCCAGGAACAGTTAAATGATCTTAACCACTGAGCCGTCTCTCCAGCTCACCAATCTCTATTTTTCTACACTTAATCTTTTCATATCGTTCTGCTTTTAGTGTAACTCACCATAAAGCACATTAAATGTGTGGAAACGTGCTTTTCCTAAAATCCACCGAATATATTTTATTTTGTATATGCTGTCAAATTAATGAGTGTGTCTTTTATTTTAATTGTGTTAAACAGCATTTAACACTCAGAAAGATGCCAAGAGACATATTTAAATATCTAGTCTTGCCCTTAGCTTCAAATTGAGATTTTTTTTTTTTCAGTTCAGTTTCGACTTTGCCATGTTTTTAATAGATCTGTAGTAAAGATACCATAATGATGGGGGAAAGTTCTTAACTTGAGTTTATTTTTTTTTAATCTTAATTAACATTTTTAAAAAGCCTTAGTGTTACCTTTAGCTGACATTGA